ACTCTTTAACCCTCTACCTAGAGTGGCACTTAGGCTTTGTACATCATTGTAAAAAAAAAGTGATTTTGCATCATTGTAAAATAAAATTTAAGAGCTACCTTTAAACAAGTACGACGGAAATTGAAAACAGGGACTTGAATACGCTTCGGAAAAACGAAAATGGCCCTCTTGAAACTAAGAAAGGAATTAAGATATAGGAAAATTTCATTAAGGACGAAAAAGACTACTGAACCTGTTTGACATATCTATCCACCTGCATGGAAGGAAATACCTAAGCCTTTGTTAGAATCATTTAAAGATTCTTTGTGCCAGTAACCGTTTATATAAGTTAGAACAGATCGTTTAAAAGAGTTTCTTCTAATGAGATAAAGATTGGTCATATAGCTAGATGTTTCATGTTCACCTGTCCGGGAAGCAATTAGGCTCGTAGATGCATCACATGTACTGCAGCCATAGTGGCAGTGGTATGCCTCGGTTAAAACAGCTTGACGGGGCCCATCCCTCTTCGGGCTACTATTGAAATCATTGGGCTTTCCTCATTATTTGCCCTCGAAATTTCAGTTGTCTCTTAACATCAGGCAGTGACAATTGAAATTCCTAGGGCACATAATAAAGAAAGAGGGCTTGGAAAATCCGATACTCACAGGACAGATTGAAGGCAAAAGAGACAGAAGAAAACAATGCGTAACAGACTCAGTTCGCTTGAGTAAATAGATGATAGAACAAGATTTAGGAGAAATAACAGAAATCAAAATGTATTAAGAATTATAAAGGACAGGGCATTGTGGAGAGCCATGATCGCCTAAGTCCTGGGTGGACACAGCACATAAAGAAGGAATTATCCTTCTTTTAGACTATTTGGCCTATCAAAGCTAAAATGTCTAGTCTGCCCTAATAATGAACCCTTAACTGGAGGAAAAGAGATATCGTTTTCAAGGACGTTAGCGTATAGTGAACGAAAGCGAATCGACTGAAATCTGAACTCGACTCGACGATTTCACTCTCCACGCTAATAACAGTTACATCATCCGCACGTCCGTTTCCTGTTACGTTTTCCTAATATTCCATTATAATGATTTTTGTATAAATTTCTAGACGGAAGAGTTATCATTATTTGCATTATTTTAGATATCCTGTTTTTATATAAAACAGAGCAAAGGATAATGAAAATGGATATAAGAAAACTTCTCCGGTCCCACAATGTTTATTGTCAAAATGTTTATGTTTATTAAGAGGAATGAATATTTTTTTAATTTTATAATCCTTTCTTACATGTTCGAAATTTTTATGTTATTAAGAGGAATGAATATTTTTTTAATTTTATAATCCTTTCTTACATGTTCGAAATTTTGGTTAAAAATCTTGTTTTTTTTTTCTTCTTCGTCTGCAGTGTAACAAAGTTCACTATGGAAATTCTAGCGCCTTTTCTCGGTAAAATAAAATATTAATTTAGAAATTCTTGCAAAAATCAAATAATTGTCGGATTTTAATGAAACTTTCAGAACTTATTTGTAAATGAATTAAACTAATTTTGAAATTATTATTTTTAGAAAATCTTAGTAAAAATACTTTTTTAACATCTGTTACCCCTCACTAACTTAATTTCATGAAATTTCGAGAAATTAAATTCTGATCACAAACTTTGTTTTATTAGTTAAAGGCAGGACTTCTTAAAGAATGTAAATCATCCATTTTATTTTTCAAACATTAACTGTTTTTCCGAAAATCTGCTCCGAATAGTATAATAAAAAAACCAATAAAATTATGACATTAGATAAGTTTTTAACTGCTTCTAAAATAATATATATTTTAAGGACATTAGAGTCTAAAGAAAAATTTTTCCATAAATAATGAATTTTTACAAGAATTGTTTTCATTTTTTTCAATTATAATAATTTATAAAGTTTCAAAAAACTTTGACCGCGTTAGGCTATTAAGTTATTAAATGAAGATTATATTTACTAATCAAAAAATGAAAAACTTAATACAAATTATTACGCACTAAGGTTTTTAAAATTTTTATTTTCTTTATGTATATAAACGTGTCCGTTTTGAAAATATCGGTGACCATACACGACATTATCAGAAAATAAGATTGATGGCTATAGTAAATTTAATATCAACATTTCTAAAATTAAATTACGCAGAATATTCTCCAACATTTTTAAGTTTACTGAGCACTTAAAAATTATATTAAAAACGCGTTCACCTATCATTTTCTTACTTTATGTTTTAACATATAAAGTCTCCGTAGAACAACAATAAACATGTCAACACCTTATCAGTTCTTGTCAATCTCGTAACAAGCGCGTAATCACCGCTACTGTTTGTTTAAAAATTCTATTTCTATATTATTTTAAACTTAAAGTAAATAATATTTGGGCGCCATTTACACTTCGCACCGCTCCCCTTCGTCACGTTTTTCCCGCGATTATTCTATTTCTGTGATTACTTTTTCCTGTTCTTTATTTCCTGCGCATCATGTTCAGAAAATCCTTTCTTAGTGTTTCCACAGTTGGTTCTCGGCCTCTTACGAATGCTTATTGTCTTCCGGCAAGCTTTAGCTCTTCTCTACAATGACTGTTGCAAGCGATGCAGTCCAGACTGACTGCCGGGGGTGCAAATGTGTAATAGTGCTAATATTTGTTTCAAATCAGATTAATTATACTTTAAATTAATATTTCTCAACTAAAGTTTCTGAAAAGCATATTTTATTTTGGGAAGAATAAAGAAAATTAATAAAGAAAACTACATTGCGCTGATAGATGACTAAAAAAGGGCGTTAATCAGCTATTTTAGCCAAAAAAAAAGTGAATCTATTCCAATCAATATAATTTCTGTTTGGCAAACTACAGAGTATTTTGCTTACTGGAAATAGTAAATTCAATCCTTTAGGTTTCAATTAAAGCTAAAATGGAAGATTCAAGAATTTTTTTTCAATTTTTAATAGCTTAATTTTTAATATTCATTTTAAAACTTAGGTATCGCGAATTATCACAAATTAGTGGAGATTCTACATTAATCATAATCAGAGTAATTATAGTCAGATGAGTGTCCTCATCTTTTTTTTCTATTTTCGCAATGTTTTGGCTGTTGTGTCTTCCTGCCTTCTTCAAGTGTCCATCCTTATGCTAATTTTCAACTGGACACTTTATTAAATTTACAGTGTGTTATAATCCCAAAACGTCAGTTTTCGAATCCTTGTCGCCACTGTTATAATTTTGTATCAACGCATAGTTCGGGTTAATAATATTCCAAAAGAAAACACTGAAACACAAGAGTAATGAAAGAACGTGAGTTAATATCTGTTATATAGAAAGAAAGTGTCGCTGCCGAGACTGGAGTTTGAACACAGATCACCAGAGGCGATCCCATTTTGAATAAGTAGATCATGGGATGCTAAAGGAAATGTATATATGGGAATTAGCGGGGCGTCTAAGTGATCACTATAATGATAACTATTAGTAAATTGTAATAAATGAATGGGTCGTGAATGAATAAATTTAACTAAGATTAAGATAGCTAATGAAGACCAGCCCCTTCCTTTTCCTCTCCCTCCGCCTTGTGCCATAATTTTATAATTTTACAAAATATTGTAAGTTATGGTCCGGTTTCTTGTACGACGGTGATAGTCCAAGGTAGAACCAATAAAGATGAACTCGAACACAGGTATGGAATAACACAGATATATTACAAACAGGAATATATACAGAGAAATAGAAGTGTTAGTACGAACAATCAGGTTTAGTAGAGAGAACAATGTAGTCTCGACCAGTATCACTATTCCAATGTCTTTCAGTTATCGTCTGAACGCGACTCTGTTTCGGGCTGCCTCTGACTCGACTCTTGACTCGACTTGAACTACTGACTGACTCCCTGCCTACTTATTAAGTATGGAATAGTCCATTATTATTATTATGGATAAGATCCCATAACATATACAGATCAATATTTGGTTTTGTTGTGTTATTTTATGGACTGAAAGTCAAGTATTCTGTAAGTCTAGTTTTTCATTTGTATTGTTTTTGTTGCTGTTACTTTATTGTTTTTCGGTTGTTCTACATTGTTACTGAATTTGTCTTGTCGTTCGTTTTGAGGTGGGGACAGGATGGCTGAGTCGCCCCCACAGCGAACTGCTTCAGCCCCACCAGCACCTTTGCCATGGGCTGCAAATAAACCAAAAAAGAAAAAGACACCGGAAGAGTACGAGGCTCTTCAAAAAAAAAAAAAGTACGCCAAATTTACGAAAGGAAATTAATTTATTACCATTCCAGAGGCATTTGAAGCTATTGCACATCGAAAAATGTCCCTGCTGATGACTGACGTACCAACATGGCGGTTTATCGGTGTCAGCAGGGACACCATGGAAGAGGCTTTGAAAAGTCTCCAAATAATACCGAAAGTTTTGGCGAAAAGGTCTAACGTGACGTGGGACATCCTGCTAGCCAATGTAGATGACACGAAAAAATGGCTGGGAGTGTATTGACTATTAAAGCAGTACGTCTCCAAACGGAGTACATGGATACAAGGCGTACCAAGATCTCTCTGCATGGACTACCTATGGACATCACGGAGGAGCGCTTGTGGACTTTCTTCTTCCAATTCGGACAACTAGCAGAGGTAGCAGCACTAGCCAGGAAAACGGGCATTGCGACTGGGGTCTAAGTTTTGCAAGTCATTCTGACCCGTAAGAATTTTTTACAAGTCCTAGATATTCTAACATGCAGGGGATACAACATCTTTGTTGTTGTTTAGGACCGATGTCCCAACTGTTGGGCCTGCGGTGCCGCGGAGCACGTATCTAGAGTATGTCCCGGGCACCAACAAAATCAGCAGAAGTAGCTAAACAAACAGTGGAGAAGGAAAAGACCAGCCAAGTCACCAGTAGCTCCAATGAATGGACAAACGTGGTGAAAATGGGCAAGTGGTCTGCTGGACTCTGATCTCCTCATCCTCAGCGGCGTGTCCCTCCAAAGAAGGGCGTCTCACCTAAGAAGTAGATGGTGAAGGAACTGAAAGCGCTACAGGGAGAGCAGCAAAAGCAGCCTACCAAAGAACAATGGCAGCAGCAGCAGATCGCGTCGCAGGTGGATCAGCAGGCAGAGCAGCTGCAAAAGCAGCAAAAACACCAGCAGCATTGGAAGACGGGTCAGCCGCAGCAAAAGCAGTCTGAACAGAAGCAGCAGAAAGAGTCAACTACTGTAGAGCAGGAGCCGTATGCAGGGCAGCATCAGGTGGAGGAACAAGCTCTGTTACTTCCAGAGCTGGATTTATGCATGGCAGTGGAGGAAATGCCTCCACCTCGGTCGTCCTCATTGAAAAGAGAGAGGGACGAGGAAGACGAAGAGGACTTAAAGGGCATAAAGAAAGATAGAAAGGCCGAACGAAGTAAAGCGGAGAAGGACTTTATTATAGCTAAGACACAAGTGAGTTAGGGTGAAATCGGAACACAAAAAAATGGTCTCTCCGTGTATTTACCCGACCTCCTCACGAGGTAGGATGTGGCACAAAGCCCTCTCCAGGTGTATCCGGAAGTAAAAAGCTGCAGTGGCTATTAAATACGCAAGTCCAGAAAAGCCTGCGGTAAGGGGCTGTTACAGCCACTGTATGAGCAGGCCCAGAAATGCCAGAAGTAGGAGGGGCTTTTGGCCAATGTAAATGCTAGTCAGTGTAGGAACGAAAGCCGGAAGTAGAAAGCTGACGTAGCCGGTGACTGCGCAGGTCAGAAACGCCGGAAATAAAGAATGAACGCCGGAAGATAAGTGACTGTGGTAGCCGAAAGTAATAGAGGCCTGGAATACCAGAAGAGCAGACAGGAAAGTTTCCAACTAGCGTCCAGCAGGCAGACAAAAATAAATGATGTAACTTAATACATAATCCGTCCAAGGGCCCTGGTCACAAGGACCATGGTCGTCATCCTCCCCTCTTTCCAATTTTGATCGGCGAAAAGTCGCCGGCTTATATGACAAGGGTGTGAAGTAACATCGTCGTGCTTGATAGTTAATTAAGATCTAAAAAATGAAGTCCAGAGTTGCTATAATGAGTAAAACATATCATAAAATGTTCGAGGAGACTATTTAGATTGTGTCAATAATAATTAAACCACTAAGTGAAATGTCATCTCTATCTATAAAAGGCAGGATGTGTGTGTGTGTGTGTGTGTGTGTGTGTGTGTGTGTGTGTGTGTGTGTGTGTGTGTGTGTGTGTAACGAATGCACAGACGCAATTTTCGACGGATTTGCCCCAAAATTTACATGCACATGCTCCAAGTTAACGAGAAGGCCAAGATCGACTTTGCATTTCCCAACTCCCATCGATAGTGGAAATAATCGATTTTTTTCATGCTTCTACGGCAGTTTTCATGTAGTTTGCAGCCATTTTCTACTGGCCAGAGTGAGAGCCTATAGCTGGCTGCCACGAATAGACAGGAAGATTCTATTGGCCAGCGTGAGAGCCAACAGCTGACTGTCACGAATGTTAACTAGCATGCTAGCATGCAAAAAAAATCGATAGCTGCATTCGTCACAAGTGGGAAAAATCTAAATCTGCATGGCACTTTACTCCAATTGGCTCATTCGCTTGCTTAAACTCAACGTTGATTCTGATTCCGCAGAACTGGGTTGGGTGTGAAAAGTATTTGTTGTTAACATTCTTTTTTCATTCGGTTTTTACAGTTACGAGTCCTTTTTTAAAGCTGATCGTTTTGTGTTCATTTTGTTTAGTTCTTTTTTTGTAACAGATTTAATATTTAGTATAGAGCTTAGAAAAAATTTGCAGTGTGAGATAGGCAAGAAGTAAGGCATGTAGCAACATCAGCACGCCAAAGGGCACTCCTTTAAAGGCAAGGAAGAGCAAAAATATTTTAAGTCAAGTGATAGCGATTGCTGTATGAGTCGTACGATTTTTGAATCAAGCACGTGGAACGCCGGGCCATGCTGCTAATTGATTATAAAATCTGAACAAGCTCGCCATGTTGCGCAGAAGTAAATGAGGTGATGCAACGAAGAAAAGGCAAAGGTCCCGAAGTAATAACTCGTCCGCCATGAACAAAAATGGGAGTAGCGGGAGCATTACAATAAATACTAGCGGATATTGTAGTGCGTCTCCCATGCTCACCGCTTGCAACTACTTTCATAGTCAATCGAAGAGTCCATGTTCAACACTTTAGTGAAGCGAAGGCCGGATATCTTTCTACATAACAGTGTGTCAAAATCTCCAAGCCTTCTTTCTTTATTATGAGATCCAAAAGTTTGTAACTCTTCCTTTCTGATTCTAAGTACAAGCGCTGTTTTTTACGTGCCAGGGAAGTTCACCCTCACGCCATCAAATCGCCGCGACGAAAGCCCATCGCCAGAAAAGTTCACCGTGAGAAAAGTTCATTGTAAAAGGATACAAATTTAAAAATGGATTCTAATTTTATTGATCACCGTATCTAAAAGATTTTTTTTAAAAAATGGATAAAAACATATAATAACTGACCTAATGCGCTTTAATTAAATTATTTTAATAATTAAAACTTGGGATTCTAATAAGTGATACGATGCGCTTTAATTTAATTAATTTAATAATTAAAACTTGGGATTCTAATAAATGATATCATGCGTTTTAATTTAATTTAATAATTAAAACTTCTAATACCTGATATTATCCGCTATTCCTCTCAAGCAGCCAGGAATACAATTATCTTTGCAATTTAGAACAAGCCTTCGAATTCGCCCAGCAGAAGTAACGTAGACTTTCCATCCTTTTTTTAGATGCTTCCCCAGTTGCGTACTGTTCAATTTTGACTAAAGTTTTTTACTTATAAATATTTGTACCCTTGAACAACATATAGTTTTGTACTACTTGCACCCCTGAAGATGATCTTGGAAAAATATCGAAAGTACTTGGGAAATGAAAATTAAAAGAAATTTAAACAGTTATAGCACATTTCTCTCTTCCTTTAATATCAATACACAGAAGGTTATTCTTGAGTATGAATGGATTTTGTTAAAAATTAGCAGACATAATGTCTGTAATTTATTCAATCAGACATGCCTAAAAGATTTTCCCTCTCATTCGCTATTTAAAATGTGTCATTGATTATTTTGTTCCATTCGCCAACGTTCACCTTTTGGCCGAAAAGGTCTAAAGGTAAAATAATGTCCATTCTCTATATATAGTCGGATTTCGATCCTAGCTAGAGGCAACCGGAGGTCTAGCCACACTGATGAGCTGTGATACAGCGAAACAGTCTGTCTGTGGATGACAACATATATATATATATATGTGTGTGTGTGTGTGTGTGTGTGTGTTATAATAAAATTTTTATTACAAAATATTTTACATCGCTACACGAAAATTTCTATGTTTCGGAACTTAAAACTTATCCCATGATCAGGCTATGTTGGGTTACTTATGATGACAACGATTTACTTGTGCAACAAGAAAACAATTCGGTAATTTATTTGAGAGTTAAAAAGGAGGCAGAGAACCACGATTCCAAAATTTTGTGGATGATTTCACAAGTAAATCATTTTCATCATAAGTTACCCAACAATGCCTGATGATGGGACAATTTTTAAGTTCCGAAGCATAGAAACTTTTGTGTAGCGATATAAAATATTTTATAATAAAAATATTATAATATTTTTGTCTATGTTGTATTGAGCAGTGTTTTTTTTAAGTAAATGCTATATATATATTAATTCTGAGATGATTAATTATAAAAACTAATGAGTTTATACGGTGAAATTTTCTCGTGGTGAACTTTCCTCACGCTGATTTGATGGTGGTGAACTTTCCTGCGGTGAATTCATGGCAGTGAACTTAACTGTAAACCTGTTTTTGTTCCCATTTTCTTGCAATCTTCCTTGTTACACACATATTGCGACACATCATTGTTGCCTCAAGTCACTTCTTCGTTCACTGGCATATAATAGAACTGATATTACTTTGAATTTGAGCACACGTTTCTTTGTTTCTTATTGGAAGATATTTCTTTTCCTTATTCCAATCCACCTTCGGATTTTGCTGTCACATTTTCCGTCCTCTGTTAAAACACACCCCAAAGAAATATATTTCTGTACTTTATTTTCACTTCTTCAATTCGTAGCTCGCTTTCTAGAGGTTTCCTTCTTGCTAACGACCGTATATTCTCTCTTCTTACATTTGACAGTTAATCCTTTCCATTACAACCTTGCCTCCGAGGCAAGGTTGTAATTCATTCTTTACCTGCAATTGAAACGGTGTCATCTCCGTATCTTATGCTGTTAAGATTATTCCCACCAATACTAAATCCTAGTAGGAATTCTAGTTCTCTTATAATCCCCTCGCTGTAAATAATACTTATTATAAAACCCAGGTTGTGTGTGTGTGTGTGTGTGTGTGTGTGTGTGTGTGTGTGTGTGTGTGTGTGTGTGTGTGTGTCTGTACGTTTATATATTGGATCGGATTTCCTACATTTTTCAACCTATTTCAACAAAACTTCACAGGACTACGTAAAATTACCTTGCGGTGATTCTGACAGTGCCAAAAATTGGAAAAACACAATTGTTTTTGCATGAAATCAATTTGAAAACACGATTAAGAGGCATCGCTATCGCGAGAATGAAAGGGGGACAACTCATATCGAGTTATACTTATAAAACCCAGGTTGTGTGTGTGTGTGTGTGTGTGTGTGTGTGTGTGTGTGTGTGTGTGTGTGTGTGTGTGTGTGTGTGTGTGTGTGTGTGTGTTCGTTTATATATTGAATCGGATTTCCTACATTTTTCAACCGTTTTCAACAAAACTTTACTTTTTTTTGGCAGGTAGTGTTTCTTATTGTCATGCACACTTTTTTCTTTATTTTTACATTCAGAATGCTTTAAAAATTCCATTTACAAGAAAATTGTTTATAATAAAATTCTATTCAATCGGTAGACTCATAACGATTGAAAACAATGTTTTTGTTTGAGTTTGGGTTTGACCAATTCGTAAAAAAATAAAAATAAAAATAAATAATTAAGACATGCGTATCCATCAACCTTAAACAATAATCTTTGTCAATTTTATTTTTCAGTCTTTATGCTGGTCGATACTTGATCTATCTCTTACTGTTACATCCCCGGGCAACGCCAGGCTCTACTGCTAGTGTTAAATAAATCCAGTTAGTAGAAATCATTCTTATCTTACAGCCCTTCTTATTTTTGTTTACTCGCTCAGTTCATTTTCTATCTGTATTCGGGTTGTTAGTTCCCAGCGAATATCACGGATTATTCTGATATATTTCCGGAATAAATTAAATTTTTCTAAAAGTTCAAATAGATCTTGGTGTCGTATTTATCAAAGAGTATTTTATACCGCGTTAAAAAACAGAGCATGTTCTGTTAATGCCATTTAGTCGCTCAATTTGGTTCATTTTATTTTAGCAATCTGTTAACATTCATGATAACCATTACTAACAATCATGTCATATTCTTTTCTTTTTAAATTTTGGTAATGCCGAGGCAATTATTGTCCTTTTTTGTATCGACACAATTACAGACACAACAGTTATTTTGTTTTGTTTATTTTTCTTAATTGTCGTTTGTAATTACAGAATATTGTTCCTTGAAGTATTCTCTTGAGGTTAGTCCAGAGTGCATTTCAAACAATTGCTTGTTCTTCCAATCAAGAACTGGTACGGCTCCAAAATTCTCTAACCATCTTGCCCGATGGAAGATATTTTTTCTAAATAGTTCTTTCTTTCTTTCTTTCTTTCTTTCTTTCTTTCTTCTTCTTCTTCTTCTTCTTCTTCAGCATCTTAAGCGTTTCTACATCTGCTGTATGCCCTCTCCTTCTTCTACAGCAACGTGAAATTCTTCTGCCTCTTCTGTATTTCTTCTTCTTTTTCTCCTTCTTTTTCTTCAGTATCTTAATTGCTACTACCTCTTCTGTACTTCTTGCTTTACTCTTCTTCGTCTTCTACTTCTCCCTTTTTTTCTTTTTCTCCTTCTTCTACTTCAGCATTTGCTTTTGCCTCGTCTTTATTTCTTTTCCTTCAGTATATCAAGTGCTTCTCGCTCTTCAGTCTATCATCTTCTTCGGCATCTTATGTGCTTCGACCTCTCCCGTATTTCTCCTTCTTCTTCTTCTTCTTCTCTATGTCTGTATTTCTTCTTCTTGCACTTCGGCATCTTATGTGCTACTACCTTTGCTGTATTTCATCTTCCTCTTTGACATATAAAGTGCTTCGACCTCATCGGTTTTTCTCCCTCTTCTTCATCATTCTGAGTGCTTCTTGCTCTTCTATATTTTGCTGTATTTCATCTTCTACCTTTGCTGTATTTCATCTTCTTCTTTGAAATCTAAAGTGCTTCGACCTCTCCTGACTTTCTCCTTCTTCTTCAACATTCTTTAAGTGCTTCTCGCTCTTCTATATTTCTCCTTATTTTTTTTTCTACAACATCCTAAGTGCTTCTTGCTGTTCTGTATATCATTAACTTCTTCAGTGCTTCTCGATCTTCTTCTCCTTCTTCTTCTTCTCCTTCTTCTTCTTCTTCTTCTTCTTCTTCTTCTTCTGAATCTTATGTGTTTCTACCTCCTTCATTTCTCATTCTTTTTCTTTAGCATTTTAATTGCTTCAACCTCTTTTGAATTTCTTCTTCTTCTTCTTCTTCTTCTTCTCCATCTTTTTCTTCTTCTTCTTCTTTAGCATCTTAAGTGCTTCTTGCTCTTCTGTATATCATCATCTTCTTCAATGCTTTTACCTCTTCTGAATTTTTCTTTCTTTTTCTTTAGCATCTTAATTGCCTCAACCTCTTTTGAATTTCTTCTTCTTCTTCTTCTTCTTCTTCTTCTTCTTCTCCATCTTTTTCTTCTTCTTCTTCTTTAGCATCTTAAGTACTTCTTGCTCTTCTGTATATCATCAGCTTCTTCAATGCTTTTACCTCTTCTGAATTTTTCTTTCTTTTTCTTTAGCATCTTAATTGCTTCAACCTCTTTTGAATTTCTTCTTCTTCTTCTTCTTCTCCATCTTTTTCTTCTTCTTCTTCTTTAGCATCTTAAGTGCTTCTTGCTCTTCTGTATATCATCAGCTTCTTCAATGCTTTTACCTCTTCTGAATTTTTCTTTCTTTTTCTTTAGCATCTTAATTGCTTCAACCTCTTTTGAATTTCTTCTTCTTCTTCTTCTTCTTCTTCTTCTTCTTCTTCTTCTTCTTCTCCATCTTTTTCTTCTTCTTTAGCATCTTAAATGCTTTTACCTCTTCTGAATTTTTTTCTTTTTTCTTTGCATTTATTGGAAATATTCTTTGAATTTCTTTCTTCTTGAGTTAATCTTTTTTCTTATTCAGTTTTTTTAAACTTCTTCTTTAGCATCTTATTTTTTTTCTTGCTCTTCGGAAAATCATCATCTTCTTCAATGCTTTTACCTCTTCTGAATTTTTCTTTCTTTTTCTAAAGCAAGGAAAAAGAAAGAAAGGAAAAGGAAAATTTCTAATAACAAAGGGGAAAGAAAGGAAAAGACTTCTTCTTCAAAACTCCTTCTTTTTTTTCTTCTTGTTCAGATGTATCATCTTAGCCTGACTGACCTTCTTTTGTAAAAGAATAGCTTCTGGAATATCGGTCGCTTCTTCTTCTTGACATTTTTCTCCATCTTTTTTCTTCTTCTTTATCAAAATAACGAAAGGTAAACCTCTTCTGAATTTTTCTTAAATTTTTCTTTAGCATCTTAATTTTCAACCTCTTTTCTTCTTCTTTTCTTCTTCTTCTTCTTTTCTTCTTCTCCATCTTTTGAAAACGATATACGGAATCTGACCTTCTTGCTCTTCTGGACACCCATGCTTTTAAGAATTTTTTCTTTCTTTATCTTTTCTTCTTCTTCTAGATCTTCTTTTTTCTTTCTCTTTCTTATCAGGAAAAATAAAGCTTCTTCAATGCTTTTTTCTTCTGAATTTTCTTTCTTTTCTTTTGGACTTCAACCTCGGATTTCTTCTTCTTCTTCTTCTTCGGAAATCTTTTCTTCTTCTTCAAGACTCTTATTGCTTCAGGCTGTTTGATAAGTCCTTCTTCAATGCTTTTTACCTCTTCTGAATTTTCATTTTTCTTTTTAGCATCTTAATTGCTTCAAAAAGGAATTGTTCTTCTTCTTCTTCTTCGAAATCTTTTTTTCTTTTTTTAAAATCCAGCACTTCTTGCTCTTCCATCATCAGCTTCTTCAATGCTTTTACCTCTTCTGTTTTTTCTTTCTTTTTCTTTAGCATCGAATTCTTCAACCTCGGAATTTCTTCTTCTTCTTCTTCTCCATCTTTTTCTTCTTCTTCTTCTTTAGCATCTTAAGTGCTTCTTGCTCTTCTGTATATCATCAGCTTCTTCAATGCTTTTACCTCTTCTGAATTTTTCTTTCTTTTTCTTTTGACATCTTAATTGCTTCAAGAGAATTTCTTCTTCTTCTTCTTCGCCATCCCCCTTCTTCTTCTTCTGTGAATCTTAAATTATTCTTGCTCTTGAAAATATCATAACGATGCTTTTACCTCTTCTAATTTTCTTTCTTTTTCTTTAATTAATACCTCTTTTGAATTTTTCTTCTTCTTCTTCTCCATCTTTTCTTCTTCTTCTTCTTTAGCATCTTGTTTCTTGCTCTTCGTTAATATAAGCTTCTTCAATGCTTTTTTAGTTCTTCTGAATTTTCTTTCTTTTTGGAGCTGAAGTTGAGTTCTTCTTGGAGTTCTTCTTGGGCGTTTTTTCTTTTCTTCTTCGGACATCTTAAGTGCTTCCTGCTCTTCTGTATATCATCAGCCCTTCTTGAAGCTTTTACAAATTTTTCTTTCTTTTCTTTTGAATTGAAGCAAATTTCTTCTTCTTCCTTCTTGAATCCATCTTTTCTTCTTTCTGAATCGAAGCAAGAAATCTTCCACTATCATTTCTTCAAAAATTTTCTTTCTAAACAAACGAAAAGAAACCTCTTTTAATTTCTTCTTCTTCTTCTTCTTCTTCTTCTTCTTCTTCTCCAACGACTTCTTCTTTAGCATCCAATGTCGAACTGACCTCTTTTTTCTTTCCGACTTTACATCTTAATTCTTCTTCTTCTCCATCTTTTCTTAGTTCGACATCTTTTTTGCTATTTTTCATGATGAAACTTCTTTACCTCATAGTTTTCAGAACGGGTCATCTTAATTGAGAACTATTTCTTTTCTTCTTAATAGACATTGAGATATAAAATCTTTTCTTCTTCTTTTTTACCCTTTTATCATATCATCAGCTTCTTCAATGCTTTTTTGTTGGTGTCGTGAGTTTTTTTTTGAATTTCTTCTTCTTCTTCTTCTTCGTCCTTCTTCTTCTATCATCCAGCCCCTTCTTTAGCATCTTCCCTTCTTGTCTAAGTATATCTAAACACAGCGTGAATTAGACAGACCTTTAGCATCTTAATTACTTCAACCTTTAGTGACTTCTTCTTCTTTTTCCAGTCTTTTCTTCCTTCGATCTTGATCTTCTGACCTTTTCAATGCTTTTACCTCTTCTGAATTTTTCTTTCTTTTTTTCTTTTCTTCTTCTTCGACCAGGAGGCGACGTCACCGTCTTCTTCTTAACCAAAGGATTCGACACTGGGCCTTCTTTGCATCTTAAACTGCTCACTGTATATCATCAGCTTCTTCAATTCTTTTTTACCTCTTCTGATTTTTCTTTCTTTTTCTTTAGCATCTTAATTGCTTCAACCTCTTTTGAATTTCTTCTTCTTCTTCTTCTTCTTCTTCTTCTTCTTCTCCATCTTTTTCTTCTTCTTTAGCATCTTAAGTGCTTCTTGCTCTTCTGTATATCATCAGCTTCTTCAATGCTTTTACCTCTTCTGAATTTTTCTTTCTTTTTCTTTAGCATCTTAATTGCTTCAACCTCTTTTTGATTTCTTCTTCTTCTTCTTCTTCTTCTTCTTCTTCTTCTTCTTCTTCTTCTTCTTCTTCTCCATCTTTTCAGCTTCTTCTTTTTTACCTCATCTGAATTTTTTTCTTCTTGCTCTTCTGTATATCATTTCTTCTTCTTCTTCTTCTTCAATTCTTTTACCTCTTCTGAATTTTTCTTTCTATATTTTTCTTTAGCATCTTAATTGCTTCAACCTCTTTTTTAATTTCTTCTTCTTCTTCTTCTTCTTCTTCTTCTTCTTCTTTCTTCTTTCTTCTTTTTCTTCTTCTTTAGCATCTTAAGCTCTTCTTGCTCTTCTGTATATCATCAGCTTCTTCAATCTTTTTACCTCTTCTGAATTTTTCTTTCTTTTTTCTTTAGCATCTTAATTGCTTCAACCTCTTTTAATTTTCTTCTTCTTCTTCTTCTTCTTCTTCTTCTTCTTCACCATCTTTTTCTTCTTCTTTAGCATCTTAAGTGTCTTCTTGCTCTTCTGTATATCATCAGCTTCTTCAATTCTTTTACCTCTTCTGAATTTTTCTTTCTTTTTCTTTAGCATCTTAATTGCTTCAACCTCTTTTGAATTTCTTCTTCTTCTTCTTTTTCTTCTTCTTCTTCTTCTTCTCCATCTTTTTCTTCTCCTTTAGCATCTTAAGTACTTCTTGCTCTTCTGTATATCATCAGCTTCTTCAATTCTTTTACCTCTTCTGAATTTTTCTTTCTTTTTCTTTAGCATCTTAATTGCTTCAACCTCTTTTGAATTTCTTCTTCTTCTTCTTCTTCTTTTCTTCTTCTTCTTCTTCTTCTTTTTCTTTTCTTCTCCTTTAGCATCTTAATACTTTTTACCTCTTCTTGCTCTTCTGTATATCATCAGCTTCTTCAATTTCTTTTTACCTCTTCTGAATTTTTCTTTTTTTTTTTCTTTAGCATCTTAATTGCTTCAACCTCTTTTTAATTTTTCTTCTTCTTCTTCTTCTTTTCTTCTTCTTCTTCTTCTTCTTCTTCTTCTCCATCTTTTCTTCTTCTTTTAGCATCTTAAGTACTTCTTGCTCTTCTGTATATCATCAGCTTCTTCAATTCTTTTTACCTCTTCTGAATTTTTTCTTTCTTTTTCTTTAGCATCTTAATTGCTTCAACCTCTTTTGAATTTCTTCTTCTTCTTCTTCTTCTTCTTCTTTTTTCTTCTTCTTCTTCTTCTCCATCTTTTCTTCTTTTAGCATCTTCTTTTACCTCTTCTGAATTTTTCTTCTGTATATCATCAGCTTCTTCAATTCTTTTACCTCTTCTGAATTTTTCTTTCTTTTTCTTTAGCATCTTAATTTACCTCTTCAACCTCTTTTGAATTTCTTCTTCTTCTTCTTCTTCTTCTTCTTCTCCATCTTTTCTTCTTCTTTTGCTCTTCTGTATCTCATCAGCTTCTTCAATGCTTTTCTTGAATTTTTCTTTCTTTTCTTTTAGTATATCAATTGCTTCTTTTCAATTCTTTTTCCTCTTCTCTTTTTTTTTCTTTTTCTTTTCTTTAGCATCATCTTAATTGCTTCTTCAATGCTTTTACCTCTTTGAATTTTTCTCTTTTTTCTTCAACCTCTTTTTTTCTTCTTCTTCTTCTTCTTCTCCATCTTTTTCTTCTTCCTTTAGCATCTTAAGTACTTCTTGCTCTTCTGTATATCATCAGCTTCTTCAATTCTTTTACCTCTTCTGAATTTTTCTTTCTTTTTCTTTAGCATCTTAATTGCTTCAACCTCTTTTGAATTTCTTCTTCTTCTTCTTCTTCTTCTTCTTCTTCTTCTTCTTCTCCATCTTTTTCTTCTCCTTTAGCATCTTAAGTACTTCTTGCTCTTCTGTATATCATCAGCTTCTTCAATTCTTTTACCTCTTCTGAATTTTTCTTGCTTTTTCTTTAGCATCTTAATTGCTTCAACCTCTTTTGATATTTTTCTTCTTCTTCTTTTTCTTCTTCTTCTTCTTCTTCATCTTTTTCTTCTTCTTTAGCATCTTAAGTACTTCTTGCTCTTCTGTATATCATCAGCTTCTTCAATTCTTTTACCTCTTCTGAATTTTTCTTTCTTTTTCTTTAGCATCTTAATTGCTTCAACCTCTTTTGAATTTCTTCTTCTTCTTCTTCTTCTTCTTCTTCTTCTTCTCCATCTTTTTCTTCTTCTTTAGCATCTTAAGTGCTTCTTGCTCTTCTGTATATCATCAGCTTCTTCAATGCTTTTACCTCTTCTGAATTTTTCTTTCTTTTTCTTTAGCATCTTAATTGCTTCAACCTCTTTTGAATTTCTTCTTCTTCTTCTTCTTCTCCATCTTTTTCTTCTTCTTCTTCTTTAGCATCTTAAGTGCTTCTTGCTCTTCTGTATATCATCAGCTTCTTCAATGCTTTTACCTCTTCTGAATTTTTCTTTCTTTTTCTTTAGCATCTTAATTGCTTCAACCTCTTTTGAATTTCTTCTTCTTCTTCTTCTTCTTCTTCTTCTTCTCCATCTTTTTCTTCTTCTTTAGCATCTTAAGTGCTTCTTGCTCTTCTGTATATCATCAGCTTCTTCAATGCTTTTACCTCTTCTGAATTTTTCTTTCTTTTTCTTTAGCATCTTAATTGCTTCAACCTCTTTTGAATTTCTTCTTCTTCTTCTTCTTCTTCTTCTTCTCCATCTTTTTCTTCTTCTTTAGCATCTTAAGTACTTCTTGCTCTTCTGTATATCATCAGCTTCTTCAATTCTTTTACCTCTTCTGAATTTTTCTTTCTTTTTCTTTAGCATCTTAATTGCTTCAACCTCTTTTGAATTTCTTCTTCTTCTTCTTCTTCTTCTTCTTCTTCTTCTCCATCTTTTCTTCTTCTTTAGCATCTTAAGTGCTTCTTGCTCTTCTGTATATCATCAGCTTCTTCAATGCTTTTACCTCTTCTGAATTTTTCTTTCTTTTTCTTTAGCATCTTAATTGCTTCAACCTCTTTTGAATTTCTTCTTCTTCTTCTTCTTCTTCTTCTCCATCTTTTTCTTCTTCTTTAGCATCTTAAGTACTTCTTGCTCTTCTGTATATCATCAGCTTCTTCAATTCTTTTACCTCTTCTGAATTTTTTTTTCTTTCTTTTCTTTAGCATCTTAATTGCTTCAACCTCTTTTGAATTTCTTCTTCTTCTTCTTCTTCTTCTTCTTCTTCTCCATCTTTTTCTTCTTCTTTAGCATCTTAAGTGCTTCTTGCTCTTCTGTATATCATCAGCTTCTTCAATTCTTTTACCTCTTCTGAATTTTTCTTTTTTTTTTCTTTAGCATCTTAATTGCTTCAACCTCTTTTTTGAATTTTTCTTCTTCTTCTTCTTCTTCTTCTTCTTCTCCATCTTTTTTCTTCTTCTTTAGCATCTTAAGTGCTTCTTGCTCTTCTATATCATCAGCTTCTTCAATTCTTTTTACCTCTTCTGAATTTTTTTTTCTTTTTCTTTAGCATCTTTTTAATTTGCTTCAACCTCTTTTTCTTCTTTTTTTTCTTCTTCTTCTTCTTCTTCTTCTTCTTCTCCATTTTTTCTTCTTTAGCATCTTATTTTACTTCTTGCTCTTCTGTATATCATCAACCTTCTTCAATTTCTTTTTACCTCTTCTGAATTTTTTCTTTTCTTTTTCTTTAGCATCTTAATTGCTTCAACCTTTACCTCTTTTGAATTTTTCTTTTTTTCTTTCTTCTTTCTTCTTCTTCTTCTTCTTCTTCCATCTTTTCTTTTCTTCTTCTTTAGCATCTTAAGTACTTCTTGCTCTTCTGTATATCATCAGCTTCTTCAATTCTTTTATTGCTTCAACCTCTTCTGAATTTTTTTTTTTTTCTTTTTTTAGCATCTTAATTGCTTCAACCTCTTTGAATTTCTTCTTCTTCTTCTTCTTCTTCTTCTTCTTCTTCTTCTTTTTTTCTTCTTTAGCATCTTAAGTACTTCTTGCTCTTCTGTATATCATCAGCTTCTTCAATGCTTTTACCTCTTCTGAATTTTTCTTTCTTTTTCTTTAGCATCTTAATTGCTTCAACCTCTTTTGAATTTCTTCTTCTTCTTCTTCTTCTTCTTCTTCCATCTTTTTCTTCTTCTTCTTCTTTAGCATCTTAAGTACTTCTTGCTCTTCTGTATATCATCAGCTTCTTCAATTCTTTTACCTCTTCTGAATTTTTTCTTTTTTTTCTTTAGCATCTTAATTGCTTCAACCTCTTTTGAATTTCTTCTTCTTCTTCTTCTTTCTTCTTCTTCTTCTTCTTTCCATCTTTTTTCTTCTTCTTTAGCATCTTAATTCTTTTACCTCTTCTGAATTTTTCTTTCTTTTCTTTGCTCTTCTGTATATCTTTTCTTCTTCTTCAATTCTTTTTACCTCTTCTGAATTTTTCTTTCTTTTTCTTTAGCATCTTAATTGCTTCAACCTTCTGAATTTTTCTTTCTTTTTTAAATTTCTTCTTCTTCTTCTTCTTTTTCTTCTTCTTCTTCTTCTTATCCATCTTTTTCTTCTTTTTCTTCTTCTTCTTTAGCATCTTAAGTGTTTCTTGCTCTTCTGTATATCATCATCTTCTTCAATGCTTCCAACTCTTCTGCCTTTCTTCTCCTTTAGTATCTCATTTGCTTCTATCTTCTTTGTGCTACTTCTTCTTCTTCGGCAACTTAAGTTTTTCTACCTCTTCTGTATATTTCCTTCTTCTTCAGCATCTTAAGCGCTTCTTGCTCTTCTTCCTTTCTTCTTCAGCATCTTATTTGCATCTACCTTTTCTGTTTTTCTTTATTTCTCCTTCTTCTTCTGCATCTTAAATGAGTATACTTCTTCTCTATTTCTTCTTCTTCACTGCGACTTCTTCTGGTAATTCAGCACCTTATGCGCTTCTACCTCGTTTCTATTTCTTCTTCTTTGGCACGTTAAATGCTTCGACCTCTTCGGTTTTTCTCCATCTTCTTCATCATTTTAAGTGCTTCTAGCTCTTCTGTATATCTTCTTCTTTTTCTACAGCATCCTAAATGTTTCTACTACTTCTATATTTCTTCTTCTCCTTCTACTTCTTCAACATCATATGTGCTTTTACCTCTTCACGATATCTTTTTTTCTTATTATTATTCATCATCTTCAGTGCTTCTACGTCTTCTGTATTTTTCATTATCTGCTTCTACCTCCTCTTTTTTATTTTTCTTCTTCTTCTTCTCCGGCATCTTAAGTGTTTCTAATTCTTCCGTATTTCTTCTTTTTTTTTTTTCGGCATCTTGAGAGCTTCTACGACTTCTGTAGTTCTTCTTCTTCCTCAGAATTTTAAGTGCTTTTAATTCTGTATATTTTTCTTCTTCATCTTCGGCATCTTAATAGCTTCTATCTCTTCTTATTTTCTTTCTTCTTCTTCTTCTTCTTCTTCTCCATTCTCTTCAGTATTTTAAGTGCTTCTAATACATTTGTATTTCTTCTTCATCATCTTCATCATTATAAGTGTTTCTAACATCTTTATATCCTCTTCTGTATTTTTTCGCCTTCTTCATCAGCGCCTTGAGAGCTTCTACCGCTTCTGTATATATTATTTTTTTTTCAGCCTCTTATGTGCCTTTACCTCTTCTGAAATTTTCTTTCTTTTTCTTTAGCATCTTAATTGCTTCTACCTCTTTTGAATTTCTTCTTCTTCTTCTTCATCTTTATCTTCTTCTTCCTTAGCATCTTAGGTGCTTCTAATTATTCTGTATTTCTTCCTCTTCTTCATCATCTCAAGTACTTGTACCTTATCTGCACATCTTGTTCTTCTTCTTCTTCTTTTGCATCTTAAGTGCTTCTATCACTTCTGTATTTCTTCTTCTATTCTCTACTATTATGCCTACTATTATGTCAGGGTTGAGGAATCGGAGTGCCGAGTTCGAATTCCAGTCGAAGCCATTGCCTTCACTTACGTTCTAATACCCTTGGGAAAGGTGTGAATCCTCTTCTTCCCCCTCCAAATGTGAATAGCAAGACAGCAAGTGGTCTACCGCAGAAAGAAATGGCAAACTACTGCGGGAAAAATATCTGCTTCGTCAGTCATATATTGAAAGATACATGATCGTCTAAGCGTGAATCACGCGTGGCACATAACTGAGTGATTATGTCTACTTCTACGGCGTTTGACTATCATTAATAGTGAAATCCACAATTTGGTTAACTTTTGTATAGCACTGTTGTGGAGTGGTTTCACAGTGGAGGCTTGTATTTGTACTAAGTCGGTCCTAAAATAGGTTCGACGTACAAAACGTTAGGAACTTGATATAATAGGTAATGACGCAGAGTAAATCTAGTTGTGGTCGCTGATACTTTAGTATCCGACTAACGGTCGTCCGGCATCGACTGACTGAGCGACCCACTCAGCGATTCCTCGTTACTCTTACTACTCCTACTTATTATAGGTGGAAGAGTCTATTAACTATAGAATAGGTGTGTTCCACTATAACAAGCACAAGGCCAAATAAGAGACTGTCCAGGGTATGACGATAAACTACATCCGCGTCCAGGGTAAGACGAAAAACTACATCCGCGTCCTGGGTAAGACAATAAACTACATCCGCGTCCTGGGTAAGACGATAAACTACGTCCAACAGCAAGGCCTCTGATCAGGAGGTTTTAAGGAGCGTGGAACCACCTCTTAATTGTTAGTGTTCTCAGGTCCACCCTGACCCGGGGTGGTAGCACCTGTTAGGGTCCCAGCTAGGGGCAAAGAGTTACCCCCACTCAAACTGGGGTCAAAACACTATGTAAATGTAAAAATAGGTTTTAATACCAGAAATACTTTGTAAAAAATATTTATTACCAGGAATATATTTTTGAAAAAAATATTACCAGAAATAAAAAATTTGTCGGCGTTAAATAATCCATTGAGGTTGATATGCCATAAACCAAACCAAAACCAAAAACTAAATAAGAGAAATTATGCTAAGAAGATGGTAATCAGTTAATCTTCAAACACGCTCACAGCCCTGCTTATACACGCAGAATTTGTTTGTCTTGAAAATCAGCATTCAAGATACGGGCTTTTACGTTGGCTCGAACGCCAACCTTTATTATTTACTTAACCACTGTTACATGGAGAGACGTTCCTTATCTCAATATGAGACAAAGACCTAAGTTTGAGATATCAAGTCAAAATCAATCAAATAGAAAGGGCGTAAAATGCGATACTGAAATCCAAATGCGCATTGGAATAACGAAAGATGGCTTCCAAAAGCTAAGCAAAGTATAAAGAAACAGGAAAATTTCGTTAGAGACAAAGAAAAGAGTACTGAAATAATATCAGTCTTACTATATGGTAGTCAATGCTGGAAAATCTCCTCACAGATGAAGAAGCGATGTAAAGCAACAGTGATGTGGTTCTACAGAATCATGCTGAAAATACCATGAACTAAACATATGATCAACGATGAAATTTTAGAGAAAATGGAAACAAAAAGGACAATTATACTTAATATCAGGGAGAGATGGTTGAAATTTCTAGGGTACATAATGAGGAAAGAGGGCCTAGAAAATTGGATACTCTCAGGACAGATTGAAGGTAAGAGTGACAGATGAAAACAACGCATAACCTACTGAGCGAGCTTGTGTATGGTGGGTCACGTTTGAGGAGAGATAAAGAAAAGAAAAAAATTATTAAGCCATACGATCGATCGCTAAAGTTACTGAGAAAATGGTCGCTTACGGCGTAAAGGTTGAGAGAGACCAAAGTCCTTGAAATTGATCCCTCACCCGTTAAGGAAAGACATGAGTGACAGGTGTCATCTGACCGTCATCTAGTGACGGTTCGCGTCAAACAAAATATAATTCTAGGGTCTTGGAATATTGGAACATTAAACTACTGTGGCCAGTTGCTACAAAGGACGGGAAATTGTGGAAAACCGTGACCGCCAACGTCCGAAATGGATCCAGCACATAGTAGTAGTTGTATTGGTAGAAGTAGTAGTAGTAATGATGGTAGTAATAGTAGTAATGGTAGTAGTAGTAGTAGTAGTAGTATATTCTTTCTGTTCTTTTTCAGATTCTGATTATATTACAAACTCTTCAAGGACAATTCCTTTCTTCTCTTTCAGCTTCGACTTGTGCTATCGTTAGTTAAGATGTATTCGTTATTATTGTTTCTCTTGCTGCTGCTGTTGCTATCTTGATCGTCGTCGTTGTGGTGGTAATTATATCGCACGTAACTTCTGGTGGATATTTTTGAAAGCCCCAAGAAATCGTTTCCCATCAGAGCCCTTCTTGTTCGCTTCTTTGTTTGTTTGTTTTTTGTTTTGTTTTTTTGTTTTGTTTTTTTTTGTTTTGTTTTTTTGTTTGTTTGTTTTTTTTATACTTTCAGTTTCTTCACCTCGCTTTTTCCAATTCAAATTTGGTTTTCCTTTTAACATGGAATTGTTTCTTGCGGTTCAATTACTTTGGGAATAAGAGCCATTTCCTTATTTCATAGATTTTTGCAGTTCTTGGTCAAAATCTTCCCTCTTTTATCTGTTTTTTCTTTCTTTCTTTCTTTCTTTCTTTCTTACTTATGAAGATTTACCAAGGGAATCTTATAAACTGATTTCTCTTGCGTTCAAAACGCTTTGAGGTTACAGCTAGGTTTTTATACGTTTATGTATTATTTGCCGTTACAGTTATTTCACTCCCTCCCTGAGAAAAAAAAAATACTAACTTCAAAATTAATAGGAAAAATTTTAAGATTTTGATTCTTTAAAAAAAAGTGGAAACATTTTTCCTAATGCAATTAGGGATTTTAATATAACTTTTCCATATAGAGAATATTTGTTCTCAGGCAGGATATTTATTTATTTTCGTCTATCGACCTGAATATTCGAAAAATCTTATTAAAGAAAAATATGCGCTTATTTTTCCTTTAATAAGATTTTTTTTTTTTGAAATATTCAGGCCGGTAGACGAAAATCAGAAAATATACTGTTTAATAAAGAAACGGAGCGTCTACTCAAATAACGTGTATCCACTAAAAATAACGTTTAAATGGATAAAATCTGCTGGATTAATACATAAAAAATCTATCAGAAAATTGCTTTTTATTACGTTTAGATACGAAACTAAGCATGAAAATTGTGATATTCGATGACGAAGAATTTCACTTAAAGGCACTTTTCAGTGCCTTTAAGTGAAATTTTTATACAGGCAATCTCCCATGTGTATTTATAAGCAACCATACCTGGCCTGATCGGTTAAGTTCTTTGTAGCTTGGTCGGTTTAGAGAACGTCTGACAGCGAAAAAAAACAAAGATATCGTTTACACTATTATTCACGCTATACAATGACCACTCCAGTTAAGGAGTTTACTGAATGGACGTAAAAATTGTAGTTTATGAAAATATGCAGGGGAGATAACAGTTAACCATGGACTTGAAACGATTAAGATGGTTAAATGGTTGGGGAAGCATCCTCACGGGAGTCTGTTCCACAAAGCAACGGTTCTTGGGAATAATCTCTTCGAAAGGAACTTTCTTCTTAGCAATAGTTTGATTTGGTTTGATTAACTGCATATCAACATATTATGGGTCATTTTATTTTCTTGTAATCTTTAGTTTTTCTATTTTTTATTTTTTATTTTTTTTGCTATTTAAATCTATTACTGGAATTTTTTACTATAAAAATGTATTTTTATACTTTCATATTGTTTTGACTCCAATTTGGGAGGGTGGGGGGGATTCACTATTTGCTACTACTCCGGGTGGACCTGGAAACAGCAATTAACTAGTAATTTCACGCTCCTCAAAACCTCCAGGTTTGCTGTCGGATGTAGTTTATCGTCATACCCAGGACACCCTTACCGATGAAATACGAAAGGAATATATATATGTAGCATGGTCTGAACTGGTAGAAATAGGGAAGTTATATGCCATGCATGATACACGCTTAGGCGATCATGTATCTTTCGATACATAACTGACGAGGCAGTAGGTTGTCATTTCTTTCTGCAGTAGACCATTTACCATCCAAGATCATAGAACCCGGTCTGTCCTGCTATTTACCTGGGGGAGGGAGAAGAAGAGGATTCATACCTATCCTAAGGATATTAGCACGTAAGTGAATGTAATGGATTCAAACTCGGCTCTCCGATTCTTCAATCCGAGTCGCTATCCATTACTCCACCGTGCCTCCGTAGCTTGTCTAATCATGGAAAATAATGAACAGCGATAGGATTGGTTGTAGGTTGGGAAATTCATTTGCAACAAGTCCGCGTAAAAGATTTCAAACTCTGTCAAGATGTGTGGGGTCCCCGCTGCCGACCGAATTCACTGAGAAGTATGCATGGAACGTTCAATCATTTTTTGGCCGGTAGCTAATCTATAATCGAATTTTGATTGTCGGGCTAAGCAGGCTTAATTACTTGGAGATAGTCACAACACGCTCTTCCTTCTAGACTCAGTGAATATCTACATTTTTACTGGGGCGCACACACGCCACACCAATTTGTGCACACCCACGCACAGATTAATTATACACAGTTACAGCTCTACTTATATACACACAATCACAGGTCTACTTATAAAGACACACTCTCAAACCTGCTAATACACACACACACTCACAGAGCTAATACAAACACGCTCACAGCCCTGCTTATACACGCACACACACAGACCTACTTTTACACACAAACATACATAATTATACACGCACAACCATGCCAATCTATAGTGATTTTCCAA